GAAATCGGTAGTAATGGCACCGACACTGACTGCAATGGAGTGCAATCGACAGAGAGACAGATCGATCGTGAGATCGATTATATGACCGACTGTGTGATCGATGGTGGGATACGCCAAATGTCCCGTCGGTGTCCACACGCTCTCCTGCTCATTGCGGGACGGGAAAATGACCACAACCACTGCTTCTTGTTTGCGCCGCCTTCCAGCCGGCCTAAAAAGAAGCAGTGGTTGTGGTCATTTCCCTGGTGCCAAGCTTAACGAAATTGACCACAACCACTGCTTTGTTTCTGCTGGCTGGAAGGCGGCAACACAAGAAAAGCAATGGCTGTGGTCGTTTTCACGTCCCATACTCATGTTCGCTTCAGCTCTGTTCGTTCCCCCTTCGCCTCATTCCTCGCCTCTCTCCTTGCTTTCCGTCCGTCCCTCCCACCTTCTTCCGTCCACTCTTTGTTTAAAGTGGCCCTGTGACACGCAAATAAATACACATAAATCAACAGATTCCCCATATTTTCTTATATTTTCTGGGTTTCTGTCTTCCCCCCCACTTCCCGTATTTTCCTATATTTTCGGGGGAATCGAGGATTAATTGTGTCGGTGTGTTTCTTTGTATTTGTTTCCCCTCCTGACATTCTTTGTTTCCTGGCCCTCGGAGGCCGCGGGGCCGGCAACTCTCTAGGGGGGTTGACACGACGGCAGCGACGGCACCGCCTGGGTATATCCCGCGGTGCTCCCCCCGGCCGCGCGAGCGGTCAAAGGGGAGGGGGCCCCCCTTCGGGCGTTCGTGTTTGAGGCTTTCCCGGGGGCTCTTTTGAGCCCCCTGGCTGCCGGGAGAAGGTGCCCTGTAGCTGCTGGGGCCTCCTTCCTCCTCCTCCTCCTCCTCCTCCTCCTCCTCCTCCTCCTCCTCCTCCTCCTCCCCCTTCTCCTCCGTCCCCTCTCCCTCCTCCTCTTTCTCCTCCTCCTCCTCCCCCTCCTCCTCCTCCTCCTCCTCCTCCTCCTCTTCTCTGTAGGGCTGCTGAGCGCGCCGCGGCACTCGTGGCGTCAAGGCAGCAGCGACGGCGACGGCATCTCGTAAGTGCCCCGCGGCGCACCCGCGGCCGCGCGAGCGGTCAGGGAAGGGCGCCCGGGGATCGGGCGTTCCAGGTCGAAGGCGGCGACGGCGGCGACGGCATCTCCTCCTCCTCCTCCTCTTACTCCTCCACCTCCTCCTCCTCCTCCTCCTCCTCCTCCTCCCTCCTCCTCCTCCTCCTCCTCCACCTCCTCCTCCTCCACCTCCTCCTCCTCCTCCTCCTCCGGGGTGTCCCGCGGAGCTCCCCCGGCCGCGCGAGCGGTCAAGGGGAGGTGCCCGGGTTCGCACGTTCGCGGTTGAAGGTTGCAGCGACGGCGACGGCATCTCGTGAGTGTTCCGTGGTGTCCCCCCGACCGCGCGAGCGGTCAAGGGGTGGTGCCCTAGTTTGGGCGTTCCAGGTTGAAGGTCACTTGTTTCCATTTCTCTTGGGATCGATTGTGAGATCACATCGCGACGCCGGATCGTCACATTGCCATCGCAGCGCAGGAGTGGTGGCTTTGACTTGGCCCGTTAGTGTTCCGATGGTGTTCCGACCGTGCTCAACACTACCGCCGTTGCTGTAGCCGCCGCACTCATCACCACTGCGGCCATCACCTTACCATCAGCAGCCAGCCATCATACTTAGCACCAACCATCACAACGCAGTAGTGGTGCCTTGATGGTGTCTCGATGGTGAGGTCGATCGAGTGGGATCGCTAGCAGCATCGTCACCACCGCGTCGTCGCCAACTCGGGGGCGCATCACCAACATCGTCATCATCACCACCATCGCAGTCGTCGTCAATTTGTTCTTTCTCCCCCCACCAACCTCCTTATCACCCGAAGGGTGGTCGTACAAGTAACTGTCTTTACACTGGGCTTTCGTTCCTGATTCCCCCTCCCCCCGAAAGATAACGATGGCGGGGGACCCGGCGGACAGCAGGCGGGCACGGGCGGGACTCCCGACGGTCCAGAGGCGTCCTCGCAGGACGCGGATGAGTGCGGGGGGACCGCGGGGGAGAGCATGCGGAAGACCATATAATCAAAACTGATAGTCAGGATGCAGACGACCAAAAGGCCCAGGACGCCCAGGTCGACACTTTGCGAGCGGGGCGCGGCCAACGAAGATGGCCAAGGACGGGTCGAGGAGGCAAGGATGCAATGGTACCCTTGGGGAGGTCTATGTACCATCCCTACTGCCAATGTTGACTGTACGAGAGACCGTGCGGGAAAGACTACATGGGAGACCCTGCCGGGGGGGGGGGGTCCTGGGGGGGGGGGGTCCTGGGAGGGGGGCTCCGTGGGGGACCCGGGGTGGGTCCCGGCGGGGACACCGGATGAAGTCCCGGGTCAGAAATGCCACTCCCGCCCCGGGGGTCCCAAAGCCCAAAACCACCAAAGACTGCCCCGAGAGGCCCCCAAGACGGCCCAATAAGGCCCCGACTTGCCAAACTATCGGTCCAAGACGTCAAAATAGCCTGCAGACGACCCTAGAGGTTTTCAAGGTGCCCCAAGAAGCCTCCAAGAGCACTCCCAAGAGGCACAAATCATTCTCCCTAGGTTTGTGATCGATTATATATATATATATATATATATATATAATGGCTTCGCATCTTCGGCTTCCCGACAGTCCAAGACGGCCCAGGAGGCCCCAAACATCGCCCCAGGATAGCCCAAGAGACCTCCAAGGGCGCCCCAAAACGGCCCAAGAGGGCCCCAAGGCGGCCGAAGAGGCCTCCAGGACGGCCCGAGAGGCCCCTAAGACGGCTGTCAGAGGGTGCCCAGACAGGGAGCCCAAACGGACAGTTCGAACCCTCGGCCTGAGAGGCCCCCCGGAAACGCCAAGAAGCTCCCAGAGGCCCCCAAGAGAGACCCCCGCGAAGCTCCAAGGGGCCCTGCAGCCTCCCAACAGGCCCCCCCAAGAGTGAAGGGGCCCTGGGACACACAAAGAAATACACACAGATAAAAGAATGCCCAACATTTTCCGATGTTTTCTCAATTTTTGTCTTCCTCCCCACTTCCCATATTTTCCTATATTTTCCAGGGAATCGACGATTAATTGTGTCTGTGTGTTTTTTCCCCTCCTGAAACAGGCTCCCAAGAGGCCCCGAAACTACCCCCCAGAGGCCCCAGAGAGCGCTCCGAAGAGACCCCAAGAAGCATCACTGGGGACACTCTGACCCACATCAGCATCATCGTCGTCGTCGTCGTCGTTCAGGGTCGGCGGCACTGGCCGTAAGAAGGCTTCTCTAATAGACACAATTTCCAGGACTAGACATATTTGTATGTCTCCTAAATCTTCGGATTCCCCTCCGTCTTCAATTGTTTTCATCTATTTTCGTGGGGTTCGACGTTTATAGGTGTCTGTGTCTACGGTCGGGCTGCTGAACGAAGGAACACTAAGTTAGGAACCAAGCCCCCTTCTTGGCTCCCCGAAGCGCCTGTATGGACGAGGAGCGCCAGAGAAGCAGCCAGGGAAGGACCTCAGGATCATCGAACCCCTTCCGAACCCGAACTGTTCCTTTTTGCAACGCCTTGGCTGTACCTAGACATCCTCCGACATGGTTTCTTGAATCTGCGGCCGCAGAGGTCCCGACACCTTCCCCGGGAATGGCTTTTCGTCCTATAGGTCCATTCTTGATGGCCCCCGGGCCCGATAGGTCGGCCCCAGAGGCCGAACTCCAGGAAGAACCTCCAGCCTGAAAAAAAACAACTCCTCCAGGAGAAACCTCCAGATTGAAAAAATCAAATCCTCCAGGAGAAACCTCCAGATTGAAAAAATCAAAACCTCCTGATCTTTCGCCCCGGCTCCATTCTCGCGCTCCCCCCGGGGGCCCGAGAACGCACCCCCCCGGAGGCCGACGGCCCAGGAGCGCACGCCGGCTTGCACTCCCCCTCGGAGGCCGAAGTGTAGTCGAGGGCATCCCCCGGAGGCCGGCGGCCGAGGAGCAACGCCTCGGAGCTCTCTGGGCAGAGTCCAAGACTCGGGTCGGGCGAAAGGGGGGGATAGCAAAGGGGGGGTTTGAGAATCAGCTCACGTAGCTGATTTTCCCGGCGCCTCCTGGCGCCGGAGGCGGCTATGTATCGAGGAATGGGCCCCTCGGTGAGGCCGAAATCAGCTGCATGCAGCAAATTTCGTAACCCCCCCTTTCCCAATCCCCCCCTTTCGCCCGGCCCGAAAGACCCTAATAAAGGGCGCGCGGTAAGGACGCAAGACCCTTGGGAAGCCGAAGTTGGAATTTTTTGGGGGCGGCGGGCGACGAAGACCCCAAAGGGCGCAAGAGCAGGGAAGAGCAAGGACGCAAGGGCCCCCTGAGCAAAGTCGCGCGTCCTTCTTAGGGTTTTTGACTGTATTCTCCTCCTTCGGCGGTGGACAAACCTCCCTTTCGTAAGCCTCCCCTTGGTGGAAGCGGCCTAGAAGACCAACATCGACGGACCCGGACCCGCAAGAAGGACGGCCGCGACGCCCTCCCGCGAACCGAACACGGCCAATTCCTTCATCGACGTGCCAGGGTAGGAGGTCTGTCCACCCCCGACTCTTCCGACCCTGGCCGCATCCAGCCCGAGGGTTATGTTGTTCCCATCCTACTTAAGGACCACATCCCAGACATAATTTCGAGCACCCAGAAAAGTGCCCCAAAAAAAAGTGTCGAAACAGTGTCTGGGCGAGTGCCTCCCAGGGCCTGAGACGTGAACACCCTTGCGTTTCGGTATTCTTTTGGGCGCTCGAACTTCTTCCTGGTGATCGAGGCTAAATTTGGTTGGAGCATCACTGGGCATCGCTCGGACGTCCATTCCCTGTTTTTTTTTCGGTTTCCTGCGTGGTTTCTGTCGCCAAATGAGCAAGGATGCACCTCGATGGCCCTCGCTGAGAAAAACAATGCACACGTCCGAGCGATGCCAGGATCATAGCCCGAGGGCCCCCGAGGCCCCGCGGCGGCCGGAGCGCCGGCGGC